CCGCGTCGGCTTATTTGGCCGCTGATTTTCGCATCGCGACACAAGTGCCGTACCTAGCGGGCCCCGCGCGACCCCTGCCTGCCCCCGGGGCCCTCCTCCGCCCTCCTCCAGGACCCTCCTCCTCACCCTCTCTCGCGACGGTGTCCTGTCCTTCTCTCGAATCCACTCCCGCGCCGCCCCACCGCCGCCAGGAGGACACCGAGCAGCTCTACCCGCCGCGGCCACGTCCGAGTCCGCCCCCGACTGATTTCCCGTCCGAAACGGCCGCGGACGCAGCCCGGCGTGGCGTGGCGCAGGCCCCGCTGGCCCAGCTGTGACGAGCGTAATTAACGTCGTAAATGAAATTAGTCGCTCCCAGCCAGGCTAGCCCTGCCCGCTGCCGCCCCGCGCCCCGCCCGGGCTGCGTGGAGCCTGCTCCGGCCTACACCAGGCCCGCGGCAACCCGCAACACCCGGGGGGACCGAGCGGGCAGCCTACAGGCATGCTGAAGCGCGCTGAAAATTTCAAACCTCTTCGTCGACGATAACCCGTCCGGCCAGGTCGCCGCTCGGCGTGCGTTGCTGACCGGCCCACCGCAGCGCGGCTGTGCAGGTTGGGTTGCCTACCTCCGCGGAGCCGAGCCGGTCCGCGCCTTCAGTTCAAACAGCCCGAGTTGGCCGCCGCGTTGGCCGATTCAGGACGGACCCCTTGTGAAAGGAAAGGGCCCGGGTGGGGTGGGGCCGGGGCCGGGGGCCCGGGGTGCGCGAGTAGGAGCCACACTGCCTCGCCTTTGACTCGGGAATGCGCTCACAGCAGGCGGCCGTCCCGGCGGCGCCCACCCGGCAGCCCCGCGCCTGACGGTTGTAAGCGTCGCCTGCGACGCCCTGCCTGCCCTGCCTGCCCTGCCTGCCTACTGCTGGGCCAGGACAGCAGCGGGGAGGGACGGAGAGAGCGAGCTGTCCAGAGTGAGAGGACACGCCGCCGTGAGGAGGGAAGGTACGCCGGCCCGGCCCGGGCATGGACGACATAATGGCCCAAACCACTGCGGGGGACAAAAGCGTGGCAGGGAGGCCCCGGCTTGGTTCGGGCCGGGGCCCGGACACCAGGCCCTTGTCTTTCTCCTCGTCCGTCCGAGCTGCATACAGCTGAAATTCCAACCCTCCCACTTTTCTTTGCCACCTCCCCCTTGGCGCACAAACCCTTTCTCTACCCCTGCTCCTTTCCCTTCCCTTCCCCCCATGCTGCTGCTGCCGAATCGTGGCTTTTCTCCATCGTGACGCGGCCAGACGCGCGCGCTCGAGTTGATGGGACAGGGGTGGCCGTCGACGGCGCCCCGCTGGCGCTGCTGTCCCCTGGACTCTGTGAGAGGGAGATGGAAAAGAGAGAGGGAGAGTGAGAGAGGGAGAGTGAGTGAACATGGAGGCAGAGAAAGGAAACAGCCTTCTTGAACCCGCTTGAACCTGTAAGGCCGATACGGGGTGAAATGCTGTCCCACGCTGGACTGTGTGGGGGAGGAGGGGGAGACGCGGGGGCATATGGGTAGAGAAGAAAAAGTGTAAGTAAGTTTAAGTTTGTAAGGTATCATCTGCTAAAAGGGACAGCATCCTCCCTGCCTGGCCGCCGCCGTCCTGGGGCAGGCCGACCAGCCCGACCAGGCCGACCAGGCGCGGCGGGTGAGTGGTGGGCACCATGTGCAGCCCCTGCTGATGAGGCGCGGGTATGGGGGGCGCTCGTCATTACGCGACAAAGGGTGGGGCCCGGGCAGTACACCCACGTACACACACGTACACACACACACACACACACACACACTCACCACGAGGGAGGGCATCGAGGAGGTGTGCGCATTATCGGGGAAAAGTTGTGGTGCCATCGTGAGTTGGGCGTGCGCGGCGGCGGTGGCGGTGGAGTACAGGGACCGCACGATCAGTTTTGGGCACTTGCATGTCCTGCTGCGCCTGATGACGGCGTCGGGGACCTGCCCTCGTTGGTGCCGAAGGTGAGCCCGTAGCGCAGCGCAGCGCCGGCCGAGGAACAATGTGTAGCGCACGGCATTGTTTTGGCGCCGCAAAACTCATCCCTGGGAGTACAGAGAGGGAGGGAGAAAGAGAGAGACCGCGCGTCACCGACTGACGGCCGGGGCCCCGCGCCCCCGCGATGCGCTGCCCCTTTGGCACGACACAATGGCCGCGCGCAGGACGCACCTTTTCTCTCCTCTCCCCTTCTGCTCTCCACCCCTTTGGGCTCGCTTGGCTCGCTTTGCTTTTGCTCCTTCCGGCGAGGCCAATGGAGCCAACCTGCGCCGCCCGAGTTGCAGTATTCATGTGTGTGCCCTGCCCCCTTGCACCACCCCTCTCCTCTCATATGCAGCCCCCGTCTGCCTACGGCCGTGGCTGCTGGGGCGCAGCAGGGGCGTAGCGAGTCGCCGCTGCTGGAGCGCGCACTGCAGCTGGCGTCGTCGCTCGAAATTTCACCTGACATCCTTGCTTGCCATAAAATACAAATATTCGTAAATTTCATTCGAGTCGTTTTTGTTTTTGTTTTTGCTGGAGCCACCTTACTCCTGAAACAGGACCACCATCCAAGATGGCGGCGCCTCGTTGTGTTGGGCTGTGCAGTCCAGGCCGGTGGTGGGTGTTAATGTCGGCCTGGCGGGGCGTGGCG